CTAGTAGAGGGATAGGGGGTGCAACCTTAGTGGGGGGAGGGGGTATGCAGTGTAGATAGACGGATGAGGGGCAGTGTTGGTGGGGGGAGGGGGGAGGTAGAGGCATGGGGGGTGAAGTGTTGGTGGAGGGATAGGGGTTGGGGGTGCAGTCTTAGTGGGGGGAGGGGGTATGCAGTGTAGGTAGAAGGATCGGGGGTGCAGTGTTGGTGGAGGGATAGGGGTTGGGGGTGCAGTCTTAGTGGGGGGAGGGGGTATGCAGTGTAGGTAGAAGGATCGGGGGTGCAGTGTTGGTGGAGGGATAGGGGTTGGGGGTGCAGTCTTAGTGGGGGGAGGGGGTATGCAGTGTAGGTAGAAGGATCGGGGGTGCAGTGTTGGTGGAGGGATAGGGGTTGGGGGTGCAGTCTTAGTGGGGGGAGGGGGTATGCAGTGTAGGTAGAAGGATCGGGGGTGCAGTGTTGGTGGAGGGATAGGGGTTGGGGGTGCAGTCTTAGTGGGGGGAAGGGATATGCAGTGTAGGTAGAAGGATCGGGGGTGCAGTGTTGGTGGAGGGATAGGGGTTGGGGGTGCAGTCTTAGTGGGGGGAGGGGGTATGCAGTGTAGGTAGAAGGATCGGGGGTGCAGTGTTGGTGGAGGGATAGGGGTTGGGGGTGCAGTCTTAGTGGGGGGAGGGGGTATGCAGTGTAGGTAGAAGGATCGGGGGTGCAGTGTTGGTGGAGGGATAGGGGTTGGGGGTGCAGTCTTAGTGGGGGGAGGGGGTATGCAGTGTAGGTAGACGGATGGGGGGCAGTGTTGGTGGGGGGAGGGGGGAGTTAGAGGGATGGGAGGCACAGTGTTGGTGGAGGGATAGGGGTTGGGGGTGCAGTCTTAGTGGGGGGAGGGGGTATGCAGTGTAGGTAGAAGGATCGGGGGTGCAGTGTTGGTGGAGGGATAGGGGTTGGGGGTGCAGTCTTAGTGGGGGAGGGGGCGTGCAGTGTTAGTAGAGGGATAGGGGGTGCACCTAGTGGGGGGAGGGGGTATGCAGTGTAGATAGACGATGAGGGGCATGTGTTGGTGGGGGGAGGGGGAGGTAGAGGCATGGGGGGTGAAGTGTTGGTGGAGGGTGGAGAGAGGGGGGGATGCAGTCTTAGTGGGGGGAGGGGGGAGTTAGAGGGATGGGAGGCACAGTGTTGGTGGAGGGATAGGGGTTGGGGGTGCAGTCTTAGTGGGGGGAGGGGGTATGCAGTGTAGGTAGAAGGATCGGGGGTGCAGTGTTGGTGGAGGGATAGGGGTTGGGGGTGCAGTCTTAGTGGGGGGAGGGGGCGTGCAGTGTAAGTAGAGGGATGGGGGTGCAACCTTAGTGGGGGGAGGGGGTGTATAGTGTAAGTAGAGGGATGGGGGGCAGTGTTGGTGGGGGGAGGGGGGAGTTAGAGGGATGGGAGGCACAGTGTTGGTGGAGGGATAGGGGTTGGGGGTGCAGTCTTAGTGGGGGGAAGGGGGTATAAAGTGTAAGTAGACGGATGGAGGTGCAACCCTAGTGGGGGGGAGGGGGTATGCAGTGTAGGTAGAAGGATCGGGGGTGCAGTGTTGGTGGAGGGATAGGGGTTGGGGGTGCAGTCTTAGTGGGGGGAAGGGATATGCAGTGTAGGTAGACGGATGGGGGGCAGTGTTGGTGGGGGGAGAGGGTGTGGAGTGTAGGTAGAGGCATAGAGGGTACAGTGTTGGTGTAGGGATAGGGGTTGGGGGTGTCGTCTTGATGGGGGAAGGGGGTGTGCAGTATTGTTGGGGGGGGGGGGGGCGCAATGCTGGTTGTTGGGTAGGCTTACAACAACAACAACAACAACAACAACAACAACAACAACAACAACAACAACAACAACAACAACAACAACAACAACAACAACAACAACAACAACAACAACAACAACAACAACAACAACAACAACAACAACAACAACAACAACAACAACAACAACAACAACAACAACAACAACAACAACAACAACAACAACAACAACAACAACAACAACAACAACAACAACAACAACAACAACAACAACAACAACAACAACAACAACAACAACAACAACAACAACAACAACAACAACAACAACAACAACAACAACAACAACAACAACAACAACAACAACAACAACAACAACAACAACAACAACAACAACAACAACAACAACAACAACAACAACAACAACAACAACAACAACAACAACAACAACAACAACAACAACAACAACAACAACAACAACAACAACAACAACAACAACAACAACAACAACAACAACAACAACAACAACAACAACAACAACAACAACAACAACAACAACAACAACAACAACAACAACAACAACAACAACAACAACAACAACAACAACAACAACAACAACAACAACAACAACAACAACAACAACAACAACAACAACAACAACAACAACAACAACAACAACAACAACAACAACAACAACAACAACAACAACAACAACAACAACAACAACAACAACAACAACAACAACAACAACAACAACAACAACAACAACAACAACAACAACAACAACAACAACAACAACAACAACAACAACAACAACAACAACAACAACAACAACAACAACAACAACAACAACAACAACAACAACAACAACAACAACAACAACAACAACAACAACAACAACAACAACAACAACAACAACAACAACAACAACAACAACAACAACAACAACAACAACAACAACAACAACAACAACAACAACAACAACAACAACAACAACAACAACAACAACAACAACAACAACAACAACAACAACAACAACAACAACAACAACAACAACAACAACAACAACAACAACAACAACAACAACAACAACAACAACAACAACAACAACAACAACAACAACAACAACAACAACAACAACAACAACAACAACAACAACAACAACAACAACAACAACAACAACAACAACAACAACAACAACAACAACAACAACAACAACAACAACAACAACAACAACAACAACAACAACAACAACAACAACAACAACAACAACAACAACAACAACAACAACAACAACAACAACAACAACAACAACAACAACAACAACAACAACAACAACAACAACAACAACAACAACAACAACAACAACAACAACAACAACAACAACAAAACAACAACAATAATAATAACAATAATATTAATAACAACAATAATAATAACAATTATAATACCTGAATAAAGTCAATTGAAGCAACATGTCGTTAAAGCATTTTGAAGCCATTTCAGTCGGCCTTGATATCTTTTACTTTTCGAATGTGGGTTTTCTTCCCTAGGTTTTCTATTCAACATCAAAACGATAAAACGCTTGTAAACTTAAGTTCCCGATGTGGCAAGTTACCATTACCGTTACAATGGTTTATGTCTTTCATTTTGTCGATAGATGATCTGTCTTGCAATAACCTTTTTTTATAGATGAAAGTTCTATATAATTTCACGGTCGTTTCGGCATTGCGGTTGTGGTGTGTCTGGCGGGTTTTATTCGGTAGTTTATGGTTTCATTATTATTTGAATTACTATGCCTTGTTGTTGTTTTTTTCTGTTTTGTTTAGTGATGTTTTATTTATCATAATCATCATCGCAACAAAATCAATGTTATCGTAATCATGATAATTGTCATCATTGACATCCCGTGAACATCATCATCATCTTCATCAGTATCATTATCATTGCTACCATCATTAATATGCTTATCTTTGACACAAAGAATCTATTATTGTTAAGTCTTACGCAATTCGTTACTAGCGAATCGTAGAAATTGCTAGAAAGTCTGGAAGCGGGTGGTCGACAGAGGGGGAATGGGGGGGGGGGGGGGATAATGAAGGAGGTGGGGGAGGAACTAGAGGGAGATAGGAAGGAAGGTGGGGGAGAGGGGGTAGGTAGTCAGAAGGGGAGAGGGGGACATAAACGAAGGAAAGGGACGGGAACGGGGGTAGGGGGGTACACCAGGCGGGTAAAGTCACTGTAAGCACATAATGGCACAGTAATGTGAGCGGAAGATTATCGTGAACATAAAGTCAGGACTTGAAGCAGCTGAAGTCTCGCAGAAGCGTCTGTGTGATGCGCTCATCAGAGCTTAAGTTCCTAGGATAATGTTGCCAGCAAAGTGGGCTGATAATGGAATTACCAGACGGCGGGAGACATGTGAGCCAGACCCAGGCTAAGGCCGAGCCGCAACAACAAAAAAAGGAGTAACAGTAACGTCACTGGAAAGTATTCTTTATTAACAAAGTTAAATTACATGCTGGATGTATTGCGTTTTTAGTCCTGTTATTGCCGGGGAGAGGGAGAAACACCAAAGAAAAGTTGAATAACGTTTGTTCCTCTCGCGATCACATAGCACGGGACGAGAACAGTTCTGGGAGACAGAGGAACAACTTTGCCTATTGTTGTCCGACGATCAACAACGCCAGCGAATTCCCGAGATCTTGGGGGAGATTAATGTCCCCGCAAGAGAATGGAACTGGCCTTGATATAGCCAATTAAACTAATTCAAGTATCACGCACGCCTTCGAGCTACAGCGTCTTCCTGTCTCATTTCCCCGTGTTGTATTAAGATGGAGGTGACTGACAACACTATAGATGAATTTCCAAAAGTTACTCAATCTGGTTTTAATATCTACCTTAGCTTCCCTCCGCCTTTCCCCTTCCTTTAAGTCAATGAATAGTGATGATAAAACGACGTCCACAGCATCTGACCAAGACGTCATCTCACGTGATCAATAGGCCTATAATCTATCGCCGTCAATATAAACTTTGGTCATAAATCTTTACTTAAACAATAAAAAATAAACATCCTATGCAACATGCCATAGGAGAAAAGAGAATAAAAATGGATACCTAACTTGGAAATGAAAGAGAGAGCGAGAAAACAAAAAAACAAAAAACGGGAAGAGGGAGGGAACTCAAAAGATAAATTGGAAAGGAAGGAAGAGCAGTAGGGAAGTAAAAGGATAATAAGAGG